CTCTGGCAGCCCTCGTTCGGCACGAGTGCCTCCCGAGTTGCCGGACTAAGGGGTTCCCCACACCAGCTAACCTCGAGTCAAATCTCTCAGTCAGTGCTCTGGTGTGGTCGGCAAAGAAAGGGACCCCCAGATCCTCATGTATTTGCCTGTTACTAACGTACCAGGGCGCGTTAGTAACAATGTGAAGACACTTGGATTGCAGAACTTGCAGCTTCCGGACGTGGGTGCGGGCAGCTGACCTCCAGATCGGGCATGCGTAATCCATCATGGGATGGATGAGCTGCTTATAGAGCAGCACATCGTTCCTGATGGACAGGCCACTTCTCCTGAACGAGACATACCTCACGTTGGGCCGGGCCTTGAGGTTCGCGAAGTATGTTTGCCACTGTACGGACCGCCCGACGCAGGGAGGGAGGCTCGATCCTGCGTGATTACGCCAACAGAAATTCCTGATTGATCTACGGTCCGGACTCCACAACCACGGCTCCCTACACACACAACGGAACCCCCGGTGTCCTTGACATCAAGGACTTCGTTCTACCGGTGCATCTGACTGTCTGCCCCGCGCTCAGCTCAGATCACCTGCACGTCCTCATCGACACCACGTGCCGATCATTCTTTCAAAACCTACCTGACCGCCCGGACTTCGCGAGAATGGACTGGGGTGCATTCCAGGCTTCCCTCGAAGGCAGACTCCCGGGGAATCCCGTGGTAAACGACGAGGAAGCATTCGACATGTGCGTCGAGGAGCTGACCAGTGCCATCCTGGAAGCCACAGCGGCGTCCGCTCCCTAGCTTCAACCCCGCGTTGACAGGCGACCGCTTCTACCCCCTAGTATTCGGGATGAAATACGCCTGAAGAACCGGCTGAGGAGGCAGGTCACGAGGGACCCCGCTCTTAAGACCCAGGTCAACCGACTCCAGAGGTCGGTGACCTATCGTCTCAACGAGTGGAGGAATGAACAGTGGAGCGACACACTAGAATCCTTGGACTCCGAGGACTAGTCGCTTTGGAAGATGACTAAGCGGGTGATGCGAGTCCCCATTCCGTCGCCCCCCTTGCTAGTGCCGGGAGGACTGGCTCTCTCGAACTCTGAGAAGGCAGAAGCCCTGGCCGACAACCTTGAGGTCCAGTTTCAGCCGGTAGACGACCCGTAGGACACAGCAATTATTGACATGGCTAACGTGGCGATGCGCACATACGAGTATGCCCACGCAAATGAACTGAAATTAACCAGTCCATCGGAAGTCCTTCAGGCCATCAAGGGACTCAAGGCTGGCAAGGCTCCGGGCATGAACGGTATTCTGAACAGGGTCCTAAGACTTGGCGCGCGATAACCTTTCTCACGAAAGTGTTCAACGCGGTCCTTCGCAGGCAGCTCTTCCCATCGGTTTGGAAACATGCTCACGTAGTGTCCATACTGAAACCGGGGTAGTAACCCACGCTACCTCCTTCCTACTGACCTATCAGTCTTCTTGACACGGTCGGCAAGCTCTGTGAGAAGATCCTGTTAACAAGGGTCATACGCGAGGTGAATAAACGCGAGCTACTGCGCGACGAGCAGTTTGGGTTTCGACCCAGACACAGCACGATGATGTAGCTGGCCCGCCTCGTTGAATTGGTCAACAGGCGCAGAAGCCCTGGCCGACAACCTTGAGGTCCAGTTTCAGCCGGTAGACGACCCGTAGGACCCGGCTGTTATTGACATGGTTAACTTGGCGATTCGAACGTACGCATATGCACCCGCAAGTGTACCGAAATTAACCAGTCCCTCGGAAGTCCTTCAGGCCATCAAGTGACTCAAG